CACCAAGGTATGTTTTACAATATCAATTCAACAAATAAATGGTTATTTGTTGTTTCTGGTCACAGCAAAATCCCAGTGAAGCAGATTTATTAAAAGCACATTTTAACTAATGAGTTCAGTTTACAGACATACTGAGAGAAACAAATCATAAAAACACAATGATACAATGAAATTAATAAGCCACAGATGCAGAATAGAAAGAAGTATTTCTTGGCACCCAGATATGTGTATCAGATCAGGTATATCAGCTTCTATATTGTATTGTTTTAAGCTTGAGACTAGGTTGCACAATCTGACAGCTGTAAATTTTTTGGAACTGGCGTGTGCTTGCTTGGATTCCAGCTTGGAAAAAACATGAGGGAATCTTTTGTTGCCACAAAAACGCTCTATCAACCCCCGTGGCCTCACTGAAGTGTCACTTCTGCCATGAAAATCCACAAAAGAAATACCCTTTGTCTCCTGTGTGTTATGGTTTTAATTTCTGTATGTCTCCTCTGATTCCTAACATTGAATCTGGGTTTTGTCTCCTGTCCAGGTGAAGGGTGGACAGTGTTTACACACATGCTCTCTGAGGCCGACGGGGATCTATGGCGAGGGCCACGAGCTAATTAAGGATTTCTACAAGCAGGGTGTACAAAGGGGAGGCTTGATCATCGGGGGTGTCCCAGAAAAATCCGAACATGGGCGTGTCTATGCAGGTAAAACTAGTTTTAGTGAGTCTTAACCACAACTTACAGGACACGTCAGAGTCCCTCAGTGTAGCCTGAGGATCCGATACAACCTCTGCTCTATTTTTAAATCAAGAGACAGTGAGAAAAATAAACTGCAAAGAGAAACCAATTTGATGGCTTGAGTTCACACGAGGGCTAAAAGCAGAAGCACGGTTGTTGTGCATTAGCACTTCCTCTACATTTCTTTGTAACTGATAGATTTTACAGTACAGACAGTGCAGGGGGTAATCTAAAACCTTACAACGCTCTCTTAAGCTGACTCCTCAACAACTGCTAGTCGACAAGTGAAAAGCCCGAGGTCTGTATCGTCTAAAGATGGACAGAGGGTACAACATGACAAACATGAACAGTAGTGATATTCCTGATATAGATTTCTTAGTTGTGATACTGATACCATGTGAGTAGTATCAGCCTGCATTGATCTTAAAGGAGCAGCTGTATAAACTCGTCATTAAATACATTTCCCACCAGATGTGAAGATGACAGCTCAACGTGCTGATTTAAGCGCTGATGAGTTCATTGCTATTCTGTATTCTGTGTGTCAATCAACTGGAGAATCCCATTCGACTCTACCAGACTTGACATAGAAAGGGTCTACAGCTGATAAACCTCAACTACTGAGGATGCAAGTTCACTATTAGCACATAGGACACTGTAGATATTTTGTAAGTTGTCGCGTGCGCTCAGGTGACGTTAAAGATGATGTCTGTGGACGTAATGTCACCACAGGAATGAAGCAACTCAAGTGTTGTACTTACACACAATGTAAGGGACTTCTACGCCACTAGGTTTATCTGATGGCACTGGATAAAGTGAAGAATATTATGTTTTATATTCAACATTGGTTAATGGCTTAAAACTTTTACAACAATGTCTTGATTTAACTTTCACAGCTTTCATCTGACTTTAAAGTAGTTATATTTTAATTCTATTTCTAAGCTTCCTACTTTATTTGGTATAAGTAATTTGCTTCTTATAACAATCATTACTGTTAAAAACACAAACACATAAGCTCCAAAAAGGGACATAAAAAGCTTGGTAAAAAAAATTAAAAGAAAACCGTGGTGAGTCATTTGTTAGACTGCCTACTTTTTATTTTGGGACACGAGTACATTATACTACTTGAGGATTTCCACTGAGGTAAATGTTTTGAGTACTTCTTTCATCATTCAATGTGGTATTAACCTGCTTGTTTGTGTTGCTAGGCAACGTAGCCTGGATGCATCTGCTTGCAGCCCGAGCCCTGAGGGAGCGCCCGCAGACGGTGGGAGGTGAAGCTTTCTTCTGCTACGATGACTCACCCTACAAGAGCTACGAGGACTTCAACATGATGTTCCTCTCCACGTTTAACTTCCGAAGGGTCCGCATGCCCGCGCTGGTCCTCTGGGTTCTGGCCATAGTTAATGACTTGCTCCGCTGGATACTGAGCCCCGTGTACAACTTCACGCCGTTACTGAACCGTTACACCTTAGCCGTGGCTAGTACCTCCTTCACTGTCCGCACAGACAAAGCCCTGCGTCACTTTCAGTACCGCCCGCTGTATGACTGGGATCAATGTCTAGCCCGCACACAGAAATGGGTTGACACTTTCCCTCTGGATAACCCCAAAGACTCTTAATGTGACCTCAACCATTGCATCATACATCAGAAGTCATTTCATTTCATTGTTATATTTGTTTAATATATACATACGTTAATGGCATTGTTAAGGAAATTAAGATTTACAACCACAAAGGGGTCGTGCATTTTGTTAGGAATGTGCTGCAGTTAAGTTATTAACCAATTATGACAGAGGTAAATACAATTTACAGCCATTTACTACATATATGGACTACTAACATCTGTATTTTGGGGGCGCCTTAGTAGCTCAGCTGGCAGAGCTGGCAACTCATTACTGACCCCCCCATGTCACTCTTCAGCTGTCCTATCGATTAATAAAAGATCTATATTTTAGTAATATAGAGATATAATACATATCAGTATTTTATGTTTAATTTAAAGAATGTTTGTATATAAATAATGTGAGAAATGTAATATGTATAGTTTATAAGAATTAAGTAATTTGTAATAAAGTTGAATTAATATATTCTACATGGCTTTGCTTGTTGTGATTTAACGTATTTTATCATGTTGGGCAGGGTTTGTACAGCCTGGAGATCAGACTTGTGATCTTCACAGATCCTCACAGATTTGTTTCAATGTGTCACTGACATGGTTACTAGACAATATTTGGCATTATCTCCCGTCTTCACATCACAAGATTAAGTCACAGCATAAGAATAAACCTGCTCTTGTTTGAATGACCGTCTCTGCCCAACAATACAAAAAAGCCAACAAGTTGAGGTAAAGGCTGAAGCTTGTAATGCAAGGAAGCATGGAATTAGTCTTCTTTCCTTTCTAACTCAAGTTTTTATGTCTCTCCCTTTCTGTTTGAAAGTTTTCCTCCCCGGTGTCCACTTGGCCCAGCAAAGACATTCCTTTCATACATGTGGCAAGGTCAAAACTATTTGCTCACTTAATAAATGGTTATGGTTTCTGGAATTTCTGCTTCTTTTGCTTATTATTTTGCACTTGATTCACATCACAGGGAGAGGCTTCATTTTCCAGTTTTTCTTTCCGTATCTGATCTTATTTACATATTGTATTATGTTGTGCAGGGTTTGTACAGCCAGGAGATCTGACTCATGATCTTAAATCAGAGAACTGTTTCAATGTGTGTGTTTGTCACTGACATGGTTACTAGAAACATATGGTTACTGGGAGTTCTCCACCTCAGGATTTCCCTTCCATCACACTCTTATGGAAACTTCTTCAGACTCTATGACAACCAGCTGGATCACATTCATTCGTGTGACAAATACATGGGAGTTCCCTTGTAGAAACAATTTGACTCTGTTCCAGCATGCAGCCATTTGTGGTTTTCCATGGCAATCCATACAACACAACATACGTGCAGGCCTGCGAGTGTGAAAACAAAAAGAGAGCAATGACTCATAACTACCCAAACAAAGCCTCTCAGGCACTCCCCAAATTAAATCAAAACAAACAAGTTTTTTTTTAACCTTTGTAGTATTGAAATGATTAGTGACGTGTCTGCTAATATAAGCATACAGTGTAAAATTTGGAAAACACCGTATATAATAAGAATAAGAATAAAAATAAGAATAATATATCCAATCCAATCCAACTTTATTTGTTAAGCACTTTAAAAACAAACAAAGTTGACCAAAGTGCTGTACAGGAGAATAAATAAGACATCATGAATGTAAACAGTGATGGTGATGATGAAGACCACTGTGAGGAACATAGACAGTGATGTCCGGGCTGCAGACGCTCTTCCACACAGACGTGCCCGGCGTTACACCACCTGTTGTTTATGAGCACAGACAGTCCCCCCTCCTTTCTTCATGCCGGTCCCGGTGCTGTCCCTGTCGGCTCGAACCGTCTGGAAGCCGGGAATGGTGACGTTGGAGTCCGGTATCTGCTCGCGTAGCCACGTTTGCAGGGTTCAACCCTCCTCTTCTTCATCCTCCGTTTAACCCCCACTCTGCAGCCTCGCCGTCTCCTCCTCAGCTCCTCCGGTATGGAGGGTTTCCCAGTGTTGTCGACAGTGGTCTTCATCATCACCATCACTGTTTACATTTGTGATGTCTTATTTATTCTCCTGTACAGCACTTTGGTCAACTTTGGTGGTTTTTAAAGTGCTTAACAAATAAAGTTGGATTGGATTGGAGGCTCTCTCTCCGGTCCTCAGGGCGATCATCTGGTCGTGGATGTAAACAATGCAACTCCCCGTCGCCATGGAGACCCGTGCAAACCAAAAATAAAAAGTGCTCAAAAAGTAAGAAAACAGTTAAAAAATAGCAAAAAAAACACATTAAAACTACAACAATGATAGGAGCTGCCATGACAGGCTGCCGTTGTCGCCACTCCATCAATCAATATACGGGAATGCCACATGTAAACATACGCTATTGTTATTTGATTGTGTCTGTTTTTGTGTTAATTGTGTTTTGCTGAATCAAATAAAAAAATGTAAATAAAGTGGGATTGCGCCATCTAGTGGTAAAACATATCAGTGAGGGAATAAACACCACGTTTCTTTATCCTCCCATCTTTGTTTTAACCATATCTTGTTTGTCTTATATAACTTTAATCAACTCTAACTCACGTTTTAAAGCATAGCGCACTGTCAGAGTACAAACAGCAACATCTCCGCGGTGGAAGGGAGGCTCCTGCCTGCGTGCGTACGTGCGTGTGCCCGACGACATTGACGAGAACGCGCACGCAGCTGTCAGTAGGAAATGCAGGCTGCGGGTGTTGGATGTGCTCTGCCGCTGTGCTTTGGATACATCACACAAAGAAACGCCTTTTCTTTTTCGTTTCAGGGCGAGAACCTTCACGCCGAGGGCCGCTTGAATCTGGTGAGGAAGGTCGCAGGGAGTCCGCACGTCTAACCGAAAACATTCAGCTAGCACGCTAAGCTAACAGACAACAGGACACTATCGGCGCTAATGCTAACAGCTACGTTAGGGCTAAGCTAACGTGGCTAGCTCGCCGATTTTTTTTTTTTGTTTTTTTTTTTTGGTAGCAGGACGTTTTTGCTCTCTCGAGGTCTTCACCGGTTCCTGCCCCCCCCCCTCGGTCTCGGTCTCCGTCGCGTTTTTGATTTCACGGAGGCGGGTTTGAAACCGGAGCAGTGGCGGGGGGACGCGCGGACTCGAACCCCCTGGCTCGTACCCAGGCGGACGGATCGCAGTGACACGCCGGTCGTGGGTGAGTTGAGCAGCGAAGTTTAACGGTAGTTGGGTGGACAAGGCCGTGGACGCTGCTCTGCCGGGGCCTGGCGGGCGGGGAGGGAGGCAGGGAGGGAGGGAGGGAGGGAGGGAGGGTGTTGACCATTAGCTGTTAGTAAAGCTGTGCTCCTGTGAGCTGAATCGGGAAGTTGAGCCGCTTCGAGAGAGAGAGAGAGAGAGGAGGCCCTGCAGAGAGGATATGACAACAAGGCTGGCTGGTGTTGTTAGTTGATATCATCTTGGAGCCACCACTAACGTTACAGATATTAACCTGCTCCGTCAGCAAAGTGCTGGATCACGTTGTGGGTGTGGGGGGGGGGTGGTGGTGGTGGGTGGGGGCCTTTGTTGATGATAAATGTGCTGTGGTGCATCTGCAGAATAAAGTGTCTGTAAATAGTAACGTTAATGTTTGTTTGTTTGTTGTTTTTTCCTGTCACGTTGTGTAGTAAAGTAAAAAAAAAAAATGTGGCAAAGCAGTTGTTGGTGAAGCTCGTTGAGGTGTGTGTGTGTGTGTGTGTGTGTGTGAGGAGAGCTATGCTTTTATCTGCTTTATTTTTTATTTTTCATGAATTAGAGTTGCTGAATCATGCATAAGTTATTTTATTATATATATATATATATTTTTTTTTTTGCAGGCTTCTGGGTAGCAAAACCTGCTGCAAACGTTATTATTTGCAGAATTAAAAACAGAAACCCCCTCGAAAGATTAAAGTTATAAGTTAAAACCAAATAAGGGCTGAAAGTGATTTGGGGATATAAGAGCTGCACACTATTTCTTAAAAATTTCCATGATTTCAAAATATAGTTCACTTATTTGGCTGCTTCTCCGATTTAATTCTTTGATGCAATCTTAAGAAGAGGAACTTTGTTTTTATGCTTCTTAGAAAACGGCCTTGAAGTCTGTTTTTTATAGACACTTTTATTATTCTTTTGTGTCAAGCATGATTTGATGCTGAGATACAAATTTCTATCCGCTATAAACATGTTAAAGAAATTTGATTCATTACAACAGTCATGACTGAACTATGATTGCTGCTCTTTGGTAAAAGAAAACTCACATCCATCTTTGTATCTCTGTTTGTGAAGGAGAGATCAGATTGGAACCATGGCTGAACTCTCCACCCTGTCCCCATCTCCACCTGCATTGGGTGATCCTCATGCAGCTCCATCCATCCCTCCGTCCTCATCAGCGCTCCCAGCTCCTAACAGCCCTGTTCAAGAGTCTGCCGTGGCGATAGCCATACCCAAGTCTTCCCTCTACAACGACAAAGCTTTGACTGGAAACTCTGCACAGTCAGGGGGTTCACCCTTGACTCCCCACCCACCCCTGAGTCCTCCCAAACTCACTGCTGAGAACCCCCTCACATTATTGGTACAAGAGCCTGCTCCACAGAAAGAGGAATCAGGAGAGAAAGATGCAGAGACTGGAGCTCATGTTATTAAACAGGAAACAATGACCGGCGACCCGGCAGCTGCAGAGCTCTTGAATACCGAAACAGAGACCTCAGCACTGTCAACAGGGCCATCGGCTGAGAGCGAAGTGCAACTGGCATCCCCCTCTCCTGAGCTCAATGCTGGTCCTAATCTCTACCCCAATGTGCATGTCACCCACAATCCAAATCCTGTCATGGATGACGGTCAGTTTACAGTGGGCCAACCCCAGGCTGCTGCAGCTTCCAACCCCACTTCTGCTCCTCCAGTATCCACCAATGCAGCAGCATCAGCAACGGCTGAAGAGGAGAAACCTCAGCCACTCCAAGAAGCACAAAACCCTCAAAGTAAGCCTCCTCCTCTCTCCCCAAAGCCCGACGCTCCCATCGAAGCAAGAAAAGCAGAGCTGCCCAGCAGCCCCACCAGAGCCGAGCACCCCAGCCCTACTGTACCGCTCATCCAGGAGCCAGTCACTCCCTTCGCGCTGCCCAACCCCAACCCTAAGCCGGCCCCTGACACCCTCAGCTACCTAGAGTCAGCCAGCCTAATGTCAGGGACGTTGGAGTCTCTATCAGGGCTGGGAGAGGACGGCAGCTCTGTGGGCTCCGACTCAGAGATCAATGGCCTGGCTGTCAGACGCACTGATAAATATGGCTTCCTGGGTGGGAATCAGTACAGTGACAGCGGGTAAGTATTAGGACATTAACTAATGACTCACACTCCCATCCTGTATTGATCAATCTCTGTGCGATTTAATTCCGACAATATGAGCTAGGTCTAAGATATTCTGAAATTAGAGGTGCATATCGAGTGCGGTTGTTTGAAGGAGTGAGAAAAAGACACTTCTCCTTTTTTTTTTATGCTAATGTTCCACGCAGAACAGTTCACTATTTGCATTATGACTATCACTATCTTCCTTTCAATCAGCCACTTTGCCCTGAACATCTCATTCATACTGTCATGTATCTGCCTCAAAGATATCTTCCTGTCCTCCTCTTTCTCTCTGCTGCTCTAAACATATCTGTCCATCCTTTATCTCCCTTTGCTCTGAGTCAGACAATGCTGAGAGCGTTTTTTTGTGTGACTCAGTATGTACTGACTGTGTGTCTCTGTGGTATCACCCCTCACACCCATCTGCTCTCTTCCTCTCTTTTTTTTTGTTGTTTTTAGATTTGCTTCCACTTTTCTGACAAGCTAATTGCTCTTCCACTGTTGAATAATTAACATTTTATTGATTCGCCATCACTAGTGGCAGTGCACCGTGGTCAGTGTTAGGGATATCGGTGTAATCTGTTCAAACGAATGTAAGAGAGAAAGTGAGGTCATTCATTTGTGCCATTAGATTGCTGTTACACATATATCAGAGCACAATATTTAGGAGGATTAAAAGACAATGAGTACTTCCCAGTTTTGTCAATGATGGAGTCATTTTGTATTACTATTACAGTGACAAGGAAGTTCGAGTTGAAGTTGCTAGACAGAGGGAGGTAAAATGGCTCGACATGTTCCACAACTGGGATAAGTGGGTCAAACATCGCTTCCAGAAGGTATGCATGTCCACCTTTCAGATGAATTTGGATGTGTTTTAGATATACTTGGATTGATTATACTTGACTTTATGCGTGTGTGCGTTACAGGTAAAGTTGCGCTGCAGGAAGGGGATTCCATCTTCTCTCAGAGCCAAAGCTTGGCAGCTGCTGTCCAACAGCCAGGAGCTCCTTGACGCCAACCCGGGGAAATTTGAGGTATCACTGTGACCATGTTGTCTTCTTTTTACTACATATTTAAAATTAACAGAGAGGTTCAAATGTGTAACAAAAAAAGCACAAGGTTGTCGGACATCAATTCACACAGAAAAAATACACAGGTGCAGTTCATTACACGTGGATTTAAGAACAGTTGCCCCGAGTATTTAAGACTAAAAGGAGAAAAGAGGAAGAATGTTTTTTTAAAAAAAGAACCAATCAGTGTTCATTTCCTGCGAGTAATCCTGTATCATCATCATATATTTTATTAGTTTAATCTGCTCTCCTAATACTTGAACTTCTCTTGAACTTTCTCTCTGTATGAAGTTGGCTGTAGCTTCGTTGAGAATATTAAAGGACAGTGAAGAAGCTACAGTGTTTTGAGTGTGTAACTGGCTCAAAATGGGAAGTTGTGGCTGAGTAGGGCAATTTCAGCTCCAGAAGTGCTAAAAGGGACGCAGGCGCAGACCTAGTGAGCTGTAAGCCTCTTATCAGGACCGGTAATCCTGCCAGTCGGGGGGCCCTGCCTCCGTATCCGCGCTTGAGGGGGGTCTGGCCTCAGCTGGGTCTGGGTCCCAGCAGTCTATTTAGTAATGTTTGTGTTGTCTGAAGAAGACTCTCAAATGCAGTTTCATACAGGCAGTGTAATCCACTTTGATAGCTAATTTGGAAACAGGCTCCATAAGTTAATGAGGAATTATCTAAAACTTGTGTCTCATGTGTTTTCACTACAGGAGCTGGAGAGGGAACCGGGAGAAGCTAAATGGCTGGACATTATAGAGAAAGATCTCCACAGACAGTTCCCCTTCCATGAGATGTTTGCTGCCCGTGGTGGCCACGGGTAATAAAACCAATAACAAGCTTACACTCTCTTTTTGTTTTACATCAGAGTAAACATGATTGGCAAGAGTAAAAGATCAGTGTCATCAGTTGATTTGTAATAGCCTGGCAACAGTACTGATGTGCTTATATCTGTCAGTATCTTTACATGATTCCCATAGAGAGATTGTTGGCTGTTGGAGTAACAGATTACTAGGATACAGCCAAGGAAATTGTATAAATTGGAATAAATATTTAGAAATATTTATAAATCAAGAGCAAAGGATGTCATACACAAAATTATACTAATAGAGGATTTTGAAAATAAGATCACAACACATGTAATAACCTAACAATACACGCTTAAGAACGGAAGAGATTTAGATGTAGTATTTCAGAGGTATTTTACAGTACACTATGTATTACCCTTCATTAGTTCAGTTAAAGGGTGCATGAACTGGTCAAGTATTTTGGTGGATTTGGTCAATTTTGTTGTTGTTGTTTTTTCCTGCAGACAACAGGATCTCTACCGGATCCTGAAGGCCTACACCATCTACCGACCTGATGAGGGCTACTGCCAGGCCCAGGCTCCTGTGGCTGCAGTGCTGCTCATGCATATGCCTGCTGAGGTGAGGGACTGAACCAGTGGCTTACATGTTCTCACTTGGTGTGGAATAAAAAAAGATTCAGTAGTGTCAGTTCTGTAATGATTACTGAACAGTCTGCTTCAGCATCAGTATGTAGCTTGATCAGAAGTCGTGGTTTGTTTTTCTTTAGGTATGATTTCTCTTTGTATTTGTCCCTTGTCACCCAATAGATTAATCAAAAGAGAGCTCAGAAGAATGAGAGAGTGGGTGTATGTGAAACAAAACTGAAACTTTATTTAGTTCTTATTTTATTGGGGTTCTTCACTAACTTAAAAATAGTAGCAGAAAGCAGACTGGTGACACTGAAACTATCGACAAGGTGTCCTGCAAATATCAAGCGAGTGTGACGCAGACAGGACTCAGGTTACATTTGCATCGCTCTGTAAACGCAGCGGCGACCTTCTGATGTGTGTTCTGATAGTTTGAAACTTGAGTTCATTCAGTCCCATATATAAATAAAAGTATGATGGTGTCTATTTTATGGTGTTTAGTTGTGGTACAGTGATATTCAAGTACAGTAGTAGTGTGAGTTATTTTCCTAATGACACTACGTCCGTTGCTGTAGTTGATGTCCGATAGCAGCGAACAAAGTGTGTCTTTTATTTACTTAAAAGTTTCAATTGCAACCGTTTTCTGTTCAGCATAAGGACAGGGACCTTGCCATCATTTACCATCAACAAATACAGGAAGAAGGAATAATGTGAGCCCCAAAAAATAAGGGAAACAAAAATGGGAATTTATGCAATTTTGTTTCAACCGACTACTTTTTTTAATAATATTTAAACCTCATTTTCAGATGATTGCCAAGCCTAACTGTATAATTTGGCTCTGTTTTACAGCAAGCTTTTTGGTGCCTCGTCCAGATATGCGAGAAGTACCTTCCTGGCTACTACAGCGCCGGACTGGTGAGTTAAATAACTAACTCTTGTCTGTCTTTGTCAGACCCTCACTTCTCTTAGCTTTATTGATTTGTCATTTCTGTCTTTTTAGGAAGCAATCCAGCTGGATGGCGAGATCTTCTTTTCCCTGTTACGGCGTACTTGTCCAATGGCGTACCGTCATCTCAAGAAGTTCAAGATTGATCCAATTCTCTACATGACTGAGTGGTTCATGTGTATCTTCTCACGCACCTTACCATGGTCCAGTGTGCTGCGTGTATGGGACATGTTCTTCTGTGAAGGTACTATTCATAACCACACTCTGTGCTGTTTATAACTGAACTGTTTAACTACATTTAACTTTAGCTGGTGATGTATTAGTGTTTTCAGTAGTTTTACTTTTACTCAGAAAACTGACTTAAGTCTCTCTCTGTCTCTCTCTAAGGGGTGAAGATAGTGTTTCGTGTGGGCCTGGTGTTACTGAAACAGATGCTTGGTTCTGTGGATAAACTTCGGGAACTACAAGGCATGTATGAAACCATGGAGCGTCTAAGGAACATCTCACCTGACACTATCAGAGAGGATATATTGGTACAGGAGGTGGGTCTCTTTTTCTTGGCTTCATAGACATTGTTGCTTCTGTTTTTACTCAGCAACACGAGTTATGAGTCACTTTGTCCTGTAGTGCCTAGTCTAGTAAATCTTCACTTCCTCTGTCTGTCTCGCCCCTTGTCTGATGTGTCTTTCAGATTATCACGCTCCCGGTGACGGAGTCGCTCATAGAGAGGGAGTGCAGCATCCAGGTGAAGAAGTGGCGGGAGTCCAGAGGGGAGCTGACGCACCAGCCAGTCCGTCGCCTCCATGGCACGAGGGCCATCTTTGAGTACAAACGGCGTGCAGCCTCGATCAGCTCTGGTGGCAGCTTCTCTTTCCTGGGTAGCTCGATCCCTCCACCAGGACCCCTCAGGGCCTCTTCCAGCCTCCTCTCACTCCCTGGCTTCCGCAAGTCCAAGGCTCCTTTCCAGACTAAAAAGAGCTCCTTCTCAGGGCCATCAGGAATGGACGGCCTGCATTACTCCCACCCACCTGCAGTAACATCAAGCCCGGGACGAGGCCCCATCCATAAACCACCCATTCCCCCAGGGGCAGCTCAGAGGGCACCGGCAACCCATGTTCAGAGCCCCTTAGTTGGGGCTGCAGCTGCCTCCTCACGTGGGCCTGCTCAGGCCTCAGAAGACACCTCAGCACAGGGCCAGCCTACGGCTTTGGCCCCAGCGCAAAGCACAGCACCACCACCACCCAGCACTCTAGCCCCCTCCCCTAAGATTGTCAATGAGCAAATTACTCCCACTATCCCCTCTCCCACTGCAAACAACGCACCTCTGCCGCCATGCCCAGATTCAAAAAAAGAAGCGGCGCCAGCTGCTGATTCCACAACTGGAGAGGAAGAGGTGAAGAAGAAGAAGAAGAGCAAAGAAGACAAGAGGAAGGAAAAGGAAGACGAGAAGAAAAAACTGAAGGAAAAGAAGGAAAAGGAAAAGGCTGAAAAAGAGAGGCTCAGGAAGGAGAAAGAGAGGTTAGAAAAAGAGAAGAAGAAAGGGGGTAAGAAAAAGGACAAAGGGGGAGGAGACGCCGAGGACAAAAATGGAGCTACAGCAGCGAGAGATTCGGCCTAGTTTTCCAACCCGTCATTCCAGGATAATGAAAAGGGACACTGAACAAAAAAAGAGGTCAGGGGAACAAAAGACCCCCAGAAAGAGAGAGAGTGATTGATGAAAAAAAAAAAAAAAATGGGATGGTTTTCTGTGTAATACATCATTTTGAAGACTTAATGTAGTCACAGGACTATGGTGAAGAAAACTGGATCATGGTTTTAATAGCACCTCTGGGGGCTTTTTGCCCCTCACTCAATGCTTTCTTTTTCACAGACTTTTAGTAGGATGGGACAGATTTCCTTTTTCAACTTCAACTGGAGCATGGACTGTGAATCTAAATGATTTTCCAGAAGGTTACAGTCATTATTTCTTTTTAGTTTTTTAAAATTCTTTAATTTTATTTTGTTTTTTTCATTTTTATTATTTTAATCCGATTGATGGCAGTAGTTAGAGAAACATCGACTCAAGGGATTGTTAGATTGAAGGCTTGCAGAAATAGTAATGGTGCCATAGAGTATGTAAATAAAACCTACAGTACATAGGATCCTCTTAGCACTCCGTACGCCCCCACCGGATCTCATCTGTGGACAGGTTATCTGGATTCCTGGAACAAAAAGAAAAGAAAACCCCTTCGAAGTCGTCTCGAACGCAGGCACTGAAGACAGAAATGCTAGTAACGTTGTTGAGGATGTATTTATTGTCATGTTAAATGTTGTGAGTGAGTGTGTGCCTTAGTAGTATAGTGAAATGTGTTACTGTTCTATGTGCGCGCTCCCTGTTTTCAGTCTCCCTCTGCCTGCTTTTTTCTCTCAAGTCGAACCATCGTTGAGTTGTGTGCGGTTCTCCGTAAATTCTTCTGTCATTGGAGTTAATCTGATGGGGGGGGAACGGAGGCCGGTCCACAAAAAGAAAGAGACAATTAAAAATACAGCCAGACACCAAGCAGTGGTGGCTATTTTTTTGTTTGTTTATGACAAAACAACACACGGGGAGCTTCTTATTGTTTTTATTTCTGGCCTCAATTTCAGTCTTATGTGTCTGACGTTGACTTTTGCAAAAAAAAAAAAAAAAAAGAAAGCGGGCACAACGTTATTGACAAACTGGACGTATGAAAACACGTAATACCGAGTAGTGACCGTGCACAAGTCCCTGCAGACCAGTTGTCCACCTGTAAGAATTTGTATTATTTTGATGGGCAGTTTTTTTTTTTTTTTTTAGCCAAATTTCAGTATGGGTAAGAACTTGTGTTCGTTAACCCATTTTAGAATGTGACTTCAAGTATCTTAAGAGAATGAAGGATGATTTTTTTGCACTTGTGATTTTGTCACAAAGCACCACTGAAGTCGACCACTCCGTTAGTATGGTAACGTAGAAAACGAGAGTCTCATCGGGGCCGGTTTCATAGGTTGAAATCTGTGCCTTGAGGACCTAATAGGAAGCCACTTGACTGGAGGTGCCAGGTGTGCCAATGTAGCATTAACCTCTGATCTTTGACCTTTGGGCTCTGATGTATTTATGTACAAAGTGGTTAATTTAATCAAATATAGTATATTATGAATTATTATTATTATTATTATTATTATTTTGAATCTTACTATTTTTCTATGTGAGTAAGAGACACCTGGTTGACTGGAACGATGGCTGACTACACATTGTGTAGTTGCAGGGGGATCATTTAAGTGTTTTATTTTTTAATTTCTTTCTTCTTTTTTTTTCTTTCAGTCCTCCACTTTGACACAACAAACTCGATTGCATGTCTTTGCTATTATTTAAGTTTACTGTCATTGTTGGTTTGGTCAACTAATAGGTTCACAAGTCTCCAGTTTTACTGAAGTGCAGTATTAAACAGACTTGAGTGGAAAAATGGGCCTCCGACAGAACAAACAGTGAGATGAGTGACTCAGACAGACGTTTTGGGAGTCGACGGTCTTAATCGTACTGTATAATATACTAAGAGGTGATTTATGAGCTTTGAATAGTTCTTTAATTCAAGATCTTACGTATGTCTGTTTCACCGAGTTGTGTTGTAACATTCATAATGACTTACGGACTAACTCCCTAACCTATTTACACTCAGTGTTCTGTACTGTAAAATATTTATGCATACATTAAACTGCACTGAACCCCATCAGTATACGATGAATAGTGCCAGGTAGTTAGTGTAAAATCATTTGATGGCAACAAAAAAAAAAAAAAACAACATAGATGCTCTTTAACTGTACTGTTTTTGTAGTTAAGGATTAGAGGGACTTTTGTGTCATTGTAGCCAACATGTCCTCCATATTCATTGTTTTCACTCATTTCAGGTCTTTTCATGGCTGTCGTTCAAATATATAACTACCACACACTCTCTCCCTCCTTCTATTTTGACGCCAGTGCGGTTATAGGCACAGATTAGTGTAGTGTTAGCGAGGATAAAACTGAATACATCTATGCAAACCATCCTCCATAATGACTGTTGGCAGTGTTTATGGCGCAGCAGCACTGATCCTGACGATCAGATCGGCGCCACTGGGGAAAAATGAAATTTGTGCATCAGTAGGTCTTTTTCTGAGCACTTCTTTCAGGCCCGTGGACGACAATATTTTATGAGCAATACGTCTTTGCAGCTCATGTCTTGAAGATAATGTAATTTCTCTTTGTTCAGAGGGCTCAAGATGTCGTGAAGATCAAATTAATCTCTCGCTAGCTTGTGATCCCCTCCCCTCCGTGGAAACAGCACTTACCTCTGCAATATCGAGGACAAATGGAGAAATCCGTTTCTACCTGGTCCTTTGTGCATTTCTGCATTGATCCCCCAAATTGTCGTTCTTGAGTACATTTTATTGGGAATGACCTCACTGATGCAAATATTTAAAGAAGCATTTCAGCTGTTTTTTTTTCTCCCCCATACCGTTATGTCTTTTTTGTGTTTTTAAGTTTACATGTCACTCTCTGGCGAAAGTGAAATAAAATCATAGCTAATTGAATTCATTCCTTCAGAATCTACAACTGATGTATTTAATTGATGATGATAATGACATTTGTGATGAGTAATAAACCATAATATATTAAATCATCATGGTGTTCGTCTCTTTCTTGGTGTTTGGTGTCTTTTGAATTTGTGCTTATCCTGATAGATTCATAATAGTGATGAAGAATTCAAACTTGAGACCATGTTGTGTCTTCTTATGCAACCGTTGATCATGTTGATTTAAATAACCATTTATGGGAAAGTCAGCTGCTATAATAGAAGTGATTTGGTCATTTCTATTAATGCAATATTGAATAGGCTGATCTTTTTGGACTATATTTACCGTTCAGACTCCTATTTCTACATGCAGCTGTAAAGAAACTCCACTAGATGTCACTAGATGTGTATTTATGAGGGATTTTGGTGCATCACCAGACTTTGTTTCCTCCATCGAACCCTGTCCCCCACAGAGCCAACTGAACAGAGACACTATTGTACAAAAAGGAAAGCGATTTTATTCACAGTTTGTCCCTTTTATTCATTACAGAGGAAAGGCGAGGAAGAGTCCAGGCACTGAAGTTGAGACAGCTTATGGAAAAAAAAGATGATTTATTCGGTTGCAGGAGGGAGCGGAGGGAAAGAAGTCGAAGATTTGAATGTTTTCTTTCGACCTTTTCTCACCTCTCCTCCACCTTTTTTTTTGTTGTTGTTGTTAACTTTTCAAAGCGGAAAAAGTTGTCGTCGCTTTAAGGAGGCAACTTTTTCCTTTACAACCTGCAATTTGTCTCCTTTCCTCTCACCTACCCCCACCCAAGAGGACATCTTCAAAATTTGGAATGAGGTCCTCGTGTGTTTTGTGTGTGCAGTAAACCTGTCTTCCCCTCAGATACTGAAGGAAGCATACGGACACATTTTCATACACACCTAAAAAGGCTGAAGTTACAGGCCGGGACAGAGATAAAGAGGTGAGAAGATGGGAAATGGTTGCGAGGAAAGAAAAACATGTTATGAGAAAAGCTTGTGGATGGAAATGATGTTACAGGATAATTTTTATTTAAAATCACCCCTATTCCCCATAAGCAAACATAGACATCCCATGTGACATCCGCACTCTCATGTGTCAGTGTGACAAGTCTTTGGTTTGAACATGAGTGGCTGAGCACATGGGTTTTACACAAAAGGTGAGTGGGGGGAAGAGGAGGAAAGAAAAGGGCAGGGAAGGCAGAATTGCAAGGGATTGCTGTCTTTCTTGTCTTCTAGCTTTCTCTTTACTCCTCCTTCTCCTCTCCGTGTGTGATGACGTAGCAGATGTTCTTGTAGTCTACGTTGCCAGCAACATCTGGGGGGAAGGCGGCCCACATGTTCTTAATCTGAGGGAGAAGATGAGGGTTGGAAATTTAGCAGGGCAGGGGATGTACTACCTCATTCATTGATCAGGTTACGACCACTTTAAAGGCAACCTACTGAACAAAATGAAGCACCAGGTTAAACTTTAAAGTTTTGACAACTAATCATCATTTGCTCAAATAATATACTTAGAAACTAGTCTAAAAAGGAACAACACAGTCTTAAACCTTGGATTTATATTATAGTGGGGGAATAAATGGGAGACCCTCTCAGAAAATGGGATAAATGGATCACCAAACAATGTTAAAGAAACTTTTAAAAGCTAATCTGTGTTGCAGGTGGATGAATGGCTCCATATACTGAGTATATACTGAGTATCAGTAGGCAATGAAACCAAGGAGCCAGTCTGCCAAAAACATGTAGTATTCCTCTAATCTTCTGATTTTACCTCTTCTGCGCTGAACCTGTCGCACTGAGTGGTCAGGAGCTCCTGAAGGCTGGAATGGGCAAACAGACAGATTTTATTGAGTCATCCAATTTGAATTCATCCTATTTAGACATACGTGGTGAACATCATGAGTCATTAAAAGGTGCTCACAATTCCTTCTTGATGGTTCCAGTAGCCTCGGGGTCCAGGACCTTGAAGGCGCTAAGAATAACGTCCTCGGGGTCAGCACCTGGGAAGGACATGAGGAAGAGGTTAGTTAACCTTCACGCTGACTGACAGCAGTTGAAGAAGCATTTAAAACTGGACTTAAAACACATAATAAAAATACAGTATATATAGCCCCAATCAGTGCTATATTATTTATTATTTGATCATTATTATTATATTATCATTGTAATTGGTCAAGGTGGAGTTAATTTTAACCACTTCATACACAGGTTGGATAGTTTAATCTACAACAAAATTGAACTGAAGTACAGTACTTGAGGAGATATACTTAGTGACTTTCCACCACTGACGACTGAATATACTTCAGTCAACTTCAGTCAACTTCACCATAATACTATTTATTACTTTATACTAATAAAACTTGTCAAACACAACAATTTGTGAGTGACAGTTGGTAAAAAAAACAAGACGCCCACCCTTCAGCTTCTCTCCGAACATGGTGAGGAAGACGGTGAAGTTGATGGGGCCGCTGGCCTCCTTGATCATGGCCTCAAGCTCCTCATTCTTCACGTTCAGCTGGCCTGAACAGCCGGAAAATACAGATTAGTACAAGAGACCGCGGAAACACATGGTCACACGTGCTTTTTTCCACTGTACATTTATCCCACCGCCACTCACCCATTGAAGCCAGCACGTCCCTCAGGTCATCTTTGCTGATGATACCATCTCTGTTCTGGTCAATGATTGTGAAAGCCTATAAAGAGGAGAAGCAGACTAGGTTTATTACTCGAAGGAAGCATGGGGTGAGGGCATGCAAGCTGTGTGGATGGACGGGGTGAGACCTCTTCACACTTTAACGGACTCCTCGGTCAACAGTTTGTCCATTAACGTGGCAGCTGGTGAGTATCTCTGACGCAGTGCTGTTCAAATGTTAGGGGATATCGTGCAAGAAAAAGTCTGCCCCCAGATAGCCAGACCTAACTTGTAGTGGCCTTCAAATTGGGGGGGTCACCAGTGGGGGTGCATAAGGTGGCTGTGAGTCTTTTCTTACATGTTAATCTGGGAAAGTATCATTAGGGAACAGCTGTCTGATCTGCTCACCCCGTGCAGCTTACGCCTATGAAACTTAAGATAACCCCTTGGACTTGAACTTGAACTTAGTCACCGACCTTTCTCATCACCCTCCCCACCTTCTTATGCCTTACTCTCTCTCTCTCTTTCTCTCTCTCTCTCTCTCTCTCTCTCTCTCTCTCTCTCACACACACACACACACACACACACACACTTTTTTTGCTCCGACAGATACAGAATTCATCATCCCCGGCTATCTTTCTGTCTCTGCAACGTGCGAAGATCATCCTAATCATCATGTCATACATTCCCTAAGTGGCACTCAAGAAGCCTGTATCACTTATCGCAAGAGGAATGTTTCCTCTATTCGCAGCACATATCCCTTGACAACGCACTGAAAACACAGACACCATCATTATCCAATCTCTTGACAGCCCATCCTTATAAAACACCATCTCCTGACCTCGCTGAACTCCAACACACGCCCTTCGCGCCTCACTTTAACACCTTTTCCTTTTGCTTGTTCTTTCTCTGCTCATTAAATCACCATCTTCCCATAAGTGAGCACACATAGTGATAAAAGTTATGTTTTGAGAACATCAAATGTGCAAGAAGCTCTTTCCTTTCTCTCCTCATATTCTCTTTCCTGCATTAAAATACATCTATCGAGGTCCAGCTGTTCTGCTTGGCCCTCCAGTCTTCTGCAAGAGCCTGAAGGAGAGGTCTGAGTGACAGCTGGAGCCGAGGTCAAAGGTGAGCAAAATATGGAGCGCTTCAGATGGTGTCAGAAATTTCAGAGCTCCTCCTAATGACATTCTCGTGCTTATTAAATTGTCAGGGGAGAAGAGGGGGGCAACGCAAAATAGCAACTGCTGTGAAAATGCAACCCGAGAGCTGCTTAAACAAACTCTAATTTTGGTTACGGCCTCCAAGAAATGTAACTGAAATTGCACCAGCTTCAAATCCGAATGTGAGGATCTTTACGTCTATCTTTAACTAACCAGAGGTAACACAGATGTTTAACGCTTCCCAGGGCTGCCGAGATTGATGCTCATACAGTAGGGGGAAAAAGGGTCTCCTGTAGGGATGGAGTATCGCTGTGTGGGTGGGAAAACCTCACCTCTTTGTACTCCTGAATCTGGCTCTGCTCAAACATGGAGAACACGTTGGAGGAGCCGCCATCTCCGGCTGCCTGCCTCCTCTTTGCCTTCTTTGGTGCCTGGAGGACAAACACAGGAGTGCAATCTTCAAGTAAATCAGTTAGCTTCTGGCTAAAACTCACAGTGATGCTACAGAGCGCTGTACAGGTAGAGAGATTCCCAACCTTTTTTGGTTTGTGACACCTTAAGATTAACTGAAGTATATCTGCATATATCCACTATAAAGAGTGATTTTTCCCTATGAAATTCATTTGTTTTCATTGTTTTACTACAAAAACTAAATTTAGAGGAAAGACTGAAAACATTTTGTGTAACAGAACAATATCTTTCTTCTTTCCTGTCCCATCGATCATGTCCCGACCCCTTAGATGTATCTTGTTATCCCTTAAACAGGTCTTGATGCCCCCAGGTTGGGAACCATTGCTCTAGCAGATACCACACGTTAAGACATTTTTGATCTTCTTTTCCTGAAATTGGCCCTGCAGATGTTTGAGATTGACATGCAAACTAGAATTTAACAACAAATTAGCACCCAAGCATCCTTAGAAACTGCATCACCAAGAACTGCAAAAAAAAAAAATCCACCAAAAAAAAAAAGTCCAAAATCACTTCATCTACTGCAAGTGAGGACAAAAGCTCCCATATTTTTTGTTAATATTGTTTCAAGCTTCGACCCCCCCCAAAAAAATGCATCAAAAAGTGGAGTTAATCCATAGGGTTTGGTTTGATTCCCCTGTAGATGTTTCCACCAGCAGAGTGCAGAGATGTGGGAACCCTGGTACTCACCATCTTGAGACGGTTTGAGTGGAGGTTGGGATGATCAAGAAGGAGAAGACAGTGTGAAGCCGCGTTATACGTACATCCCCGGGGGCTTATATACCAACGCAGGCCAATCTAACTTTAGCCACAGCCTCAAGTTTGGATGGGGGATAAAAAGAGAGAGAGGCAGAGAGAGAGAGAGAGAGAGAGGAGAGAGAGGATGATCAAGGATGAACGGATGGCAAAAGTGGAGGAGACAGAATGGCGGTACAGCATATCACCTTACAGGCGATCAGAAATAGACCCAGGAGTCTTGGAATTAAGTAAACCTGATAGCTGAGGGACCACGCACAGGTTTTGCAGTCCCACGTGGACTAATAAGGACATTCGGGACATTGATGCTTGTTGGACCACTGGACACTGTCTCTCCACCCTCCTGCTGTCCACCTCCATCTGCCTGCAGGGAGGCACAGCGGCCACTCGCTCACTTTATTTTTGGTTTGTGATGTCCATTGCGATATTACAGACCCGACACACAAGCAATCTATACCCTCAGCGACTGATGCAGCTTTTACCCTGTATGTGCACAGCTTGGCTTTCTTATTTTAAGTTAAGTGACAAAGTAATGATGCTAATGTCAAATTTGGGATTTTCCCATAGACGTAAATGATGATGACACCAAATATGTACTATTGCATGAAAGCATCGTTCCAGATATTAATATAAATATCTCTTCACACAACAAACAATATGGAGGAAGGGATATCTGTGGCAATGTTAAAAATAACTGGGATAAAATAAAAAATAATTATCTTTGGATATGCATGCTTACATACTGAATAAGTGTATAAGTATGCCCATATACATCTGTTGTGTCTTTACTAATGTATTAATATAAATCCTAGGGCTACACTTTACTTTATTACACATCTTTATTTACTTTTCCTTGTTTTTGTACGTTTATTATTCTACTCTATCATGATGAATTTAGGGTATTTACCTAATTTATTAATTTAATTATTGAAGATAAAGTATTTAAAATGTTGCTTGAAAAGTTGTAAAAACAATTATTTGTTTGAATTATCTGTGATGAATTAAGAATAACTTTCTATTAATCAGCTAAAAATACTAGAACTTCTCATCATTATTATTATTGTTTTTTGTCATCATTGAGGCACAAAAATTAAAAGACATAAAAGTACTATCATCAAAATGTAGGCCTACTTAAAGTATCAAAAATAAAATTCCCCTCTGGAAATATTACATTATTAGATTGCTAATACTAATCAATGTGTAAATCATTTTACTGTTGTAGCTGATTGAGGTGGAGCTATTTTTAAATACTTTTTTATATACTGTTAACTTGTTTAGTCCAGTGGTTCCCAACCTGGGGGTCAGGCCCCTCCAAAAGGTCACCAGATAAATCTGAGGGGACGTGAGACGATTAATAGAAGAGGAAAAAACAAACTACTTGTACAAAAATCTAATAAACTTGTATTTATTTTTTGTATTTCTTAACTGATTCAGGCTTTTTTGTACCTATTTTGGCTCCTCAAAAAAATATTTTAATGAAACGATCTGGGAAGTTTAATCAGGAAATCCCTCTCTAGTGCATCTGTCACATCTGAAATGTGACACAGATTCTCAAATACTGACACTGCTTTTTTTGTAAGCCATAAAAGCTTTAAAGCAATTGGTTTAGTCTTTAACAACACTTTGTTATTTCATATAATGTGTATTGTACATATAAAAATCTTAATTTGTAAAGCTAGAAACAAAACATAAAAAGTAGGAGGAGTAAAAAGTACAATATTGACCTCTGAAATGTAGTAGAAGTATAAAGAACCATAAAATTAAAATTAAAATACAAAATACTTACAGTACTTTCCACCACTTTATAGAGACAATTATGTAATTATGTTTCACAGTTAATTTATTATGAGCAGACGTCCAAATGTCTCAAATCTGAAAGCATCTAATTTCATTAATAAAATCTGTGTTTTGTTTTAGTTTTTTTTTGTTTGATAGAAATGTGTGTTTCTTGTGTCTGTTCCCTGTTTTGTTTCTCTATTTTTTTTTTTTTTTTACATGAGGACAGGAGGGTTTTTGAATGACAGCAAGCCAGCCAAGTGAAAGCACCATCAATCTCTGGCTGCTGTCCTGCGTTCTCATCACTGTAAAGGTGTGTTTGGTGATTGGTCTTTGTCATGAACACTGTCCCACCTGTTTGCCCTCTGCCCCCCCCTCTCTCTCCCCACCCTGTAAATATAAGGGGATTACTTGGCAGGGTGATGGCAGCAGACATTCCCAGAAGAACATAAAAGGGACAGCTGAGGGCGACCAAAATAGCTAAATAAACTTGATAGTCTGCCAACTTGCGGGGCCCTGAGAGCAAAATGCTTTCCTTCATTAGTTTTTTCAGATTTTAACATCCAAATTTACCTCAGATAATCTGTTTTCATTTCATTAACAACCTTTGTTAATCTTGTCTATTGGAGGAATATTTATTTTTGCCTCCTCTGTGGTTGTGACTGTTTGTGTTTCCACTGATCTCCACGCTCTCACACTCTGATGATCAGTCATGTGTCAGACTGCTCTTTACTGGTTTCCACTCCCGCGGTAATTCGGATTAGACAGACGTGTGTTTGTCTTGGGCATTCAGGACATCCAGAGCCCAGTGCTAGCTGTCAGTCTTCCCCTGGTGTGCCAGTTGACCTTTGACCCCCTGCTCACTTTATTATCACCACCTTGTTGCAGGAATGAAATATGTCACAGCAAACATGTTCTGAATTGCATTAAATTCAGCAGTTTAAGATACAGTGACATTATATGAAGGCATTTGTGCGGAGATCAGGAGACGATTATGACATTGTAAAGCATTTTAAAGGTTTGACTGCTAGTAGTTGGGTTTGGCATTATATCGCCTTTTTATACTATAACAATATAAGAATAATTGATTGCATCTTATGTCGACCTTCATGGAAAACACTACAAATTCAGTGGTCAGTCGTATTTCGTATTCTGTAATTTTGCTGTTTTTTTTTAGGTATCATTAATTATTTGATGGTAATAAATAATCAATATAACAATAAAAACTCAAAATGTTTCCTTGTATGTATACATATCCTTTGTATGACGAGATTTGGCTCTAATATTCTCAATGAAACATGAAAATCTCTTCACGAATGTGTCAGCTGCCACAGTTCACTAACTTTACACAGTAGTGAAAACACAAAATAGTTTCACTCCCCAATGTGTTTACACGCCGCTATCACGAGGAGCTGTTTACCATACAGATGTCTATACATTACAAGGGGCCTTTGCTGTAATGTGAAACGTTTCGCCACGCTCCTCTGAAGCCATCTATCACTTTTTAGATGATTGGTATGTCTGTCTGTAGGGCTAGGAATGTGGAGAAGCTCCCAGCTTGTCTTATGGAGGCGGACGACCTTAAGGAACCGTGACATGGGTGACACGGGAGACGTCATAATTTGTATAGTCTGCTGTCTGTGTTCGATTACCAACCAGCGTCAGGTTTCCCTGTTTTGTTATTTGATCCCATTTAGCATTGTGTTACATTAATTGCCATACATTTTAAGTTAAAGGGCAGGTCTGATGTCAGCTTTTGCTTTTTTCTGTCTGGTGTTACGGAACTTGTTGGAGTGAACAGTTTAAATATAAAGCTTATCACACTACCACTTTCTTTGCCTCGGAAACAGTTGCTTTGTTAAATTAACCCAGTGGATTCAACGGCAATTACATTCAGACATTGTGTAATTATCCAAGTAAATGAGTAGATAACTCAATTAAAGGGCATTTCATTTCCCAAAATACTGAACTTCAATGCATTATTTTTGTCTCTTGCATTCTTCCATAAACCAGTGTGCTATTTCTGAATTTCTAAATCACACTGCTGAGAATAAACTACACTTTTTTAATTAGGTTGTGCACTACCGCCTCGAGTCAGCACACTGTGCCTATAGCGCCCTCTGCTGTCTACCTTCCTCCATTAACTGCCATAATACCGTACACTGATCAGTCAGGTGCCCAGGTGGTTATAATGTTATGGCTGATGTATATTAACTTCCTAAGCTTCACTGTTGTCAAATTTCCCCTTAAAGTAGCTTTAAGGATAATCATTATCTGCTTGCTTCAAAGATTCCACTGCACAAAATAATGCGATTATTTGATATAAATATTCAAACATAAGATTATGTGAGTAAAATAGACGTAATTCTTTCTGTCCCCTGTTTATTTTCATATTCTGGCTTGTAATTCTGGTGGAAAGATTTTTTTGGAGTTGTAGAAAAACAACAACAATGTGTAACCAAAAATTATGAATTAAATTGAACTGCTTCAAGATCATGGTTATTGTACATGCTGGCTTATTGTCACATTGTTAGGCCTATTTCTGTATGACTGTACCAAATACATAAAATGGAAAATTCTCGCCCTCTCATGTTGTTTTAAACTTTATGATCTAAACTAGAATATGAAATAATAACGTTTGTGTTTGTATCTGAGTATCAGCATCTTATCTGATAGACAGTAGGGCTTTATATCAACATTATGAAACATTTAAGTCGGCAGATCAATTTTATTTTTTCATGCAATGAAAAATATATAACACTCTTTGCTTAATATTCCTTTAAAAGGCCATATGCCATGGATAAAATTGTTAATTGCACCACATGTGAATATTAAACTGCTCAGTGCATATGCAACTAGCAGCAGGTTCAAACTAGCCGGGAGAACAAACAAGGATTAGGAATTTTTCATGGAAGACATTTTGACATGTTACAGTAGGAAAAACAGTAAAAGCAAAGGTAAAAATTATATTTAGCTGCTTCAGTTTCAGGGTCACTATTACAATGTCACAGCTTTCACTTAAATAGAATAGAGACATATGCAAATGCCGTTAAAAACGGCCCGTCCGCACATTGCTTTCTGATACCAGCAATATCTGCCTGACTTTTGTTGCATAACATGGATACTTTAAGGCAAATTTACAGCTAAATCAGAAAAAATAGCAACCTACAGGTAGTTTATATATTATTTGTGACATCTCAACAGCTTAGTTGAGCTTCGACAACCGTTTTCAGATATTACACCACTGTGGTTGAGGTTTGGTTCGGTTTAGGCACAAAAGAAAAATCTTCATGTTCGTGAATTGTTAAGTATATTAC